GTTAGGTCAAGTAGTTTCGTGATTATTGGCATTCAAATTAGGAGATTGGACACCTTGGTAGTGATTTTTAAAAGAAAATGAGTCATTTTGGGTTCTGGTGTCCAAATCTAATTTGGTTTAGTATTTGGGTGTAAGATCAATGCCAATATCTAGGTAGCCTTAAGAGTTACATGTGGACGCTTGAATCACTCAAATCGAATATCAGATAATGAAATGGCGAGCTCCAAAAGTTAGCCCAAAGAGTTGTCATAGGCATGCGCACCGTGGCACGAGGCACAAAGCAAAATGTTTCCCTCTATGTAATCTACCATGACAAACAATACACTATACAGTGGTGCACTATGCCTATATGGCTAAAAATATATTGTTGCTTATTATTTTTATAGCATGATGAAATTCCTATGCTTCTGTTATTTTTTTACTTAGTTTTAAACTATTGTTTGAGCTCGAACCATCTTTGAAAAGGTTTTTCTTGGGATCCCCCTTTCTTAAACATTCATTTAATCCTTGGGTTATGATAACTAATTATGGGATTAATGAAATCTTAATTATCATAATATTGCTCCGTGTTATGTGTTCTATGTATTTGGTAATATTAGAGATGACGTTACAACTACTGTGAACCCATCAAGGTGCTGTCATCATCGTGTCTTCATGGTTGACCTTAGCAAAGAAGGAGATGATGATATGAGGATGCCCAACCTGCTTCCTCTTTCAAGTAACGCTCGGAGGGTAGCTAAAAAACTTATGGTTAAGGAGCCCTTAGAGGGTCCTCTTTCCTAGCTCGAGCCATTAACTCTTTTTATGATGAAGCCTACTCCTACTCTTTCATAAGCTAGCCCAGGCTTAGATCATATTGTGGCTAATGTTTCTCCTGAGTCAATCCCAATGGCTTATCTGCCCACGTAAAGTATCACAAGTGAATAACATCCTTTATCACCTGATAGGGCTAGAAGGGTCTCAACATCAGGGGTTGGGAAGTCTGTGGACAAAGGGAAGTCTCCTGTGACTTTTGAGGTGAGCTATTTTACCTCTAATGTTTACTTTCCTTTTAACATTTTTGTCTTATCTGACTACTTGTTTTATTTATTAACAGGTTCGACCTCCTTCTCTCTAATCTCCTAGTATGTATTTTATAGTGCTTAAGCTTGATAATGATCTCTTTATTAAAGAGGCAAAAGATACTATTGAGGTTTTCCTTAAGAGGGGCCCGATGCTACTCTTAAAGCCCTATTTTGAAGAGGTACTGAAAAGCTTAGATGTGCTACATATGAAAAGATCAATGTCTATATTTGACATGTTTATTCTCAACTACCTTATGCCTTTGCTCGCATTCATACTCATAGCTGTGGCATTTAATTCTAATCCCATGCAAAACAATCCTTGAATTCCTCAAACACTTGTATCATGGCATTTTTTGTTCTTAAGTTAAAAGCAAACTAACATAAGTGATCCTCTACTCCATAAAGGATCCAAGATTAACTTCTTCAAGTAGGTCCTATACCTCTAGAGCTATATCCTTAAACTTAAGAGGTGAGGCCTCTAACTCATGCAATTGTATAGTTTCTTGAACTTTTTCTTTGTACACAACTTTGGCCCCTAATGTTTCAAGTCTGAAATCTTCCAAGCATTCCTCCATAATATACAACCAAAGTTTTTTAATGGCTATGGCTACTATAGCCTTCCCTCTTTCAGAGTTAATCATCTATTAGTTCTATAATAGGCTCCTACCTCTATTACAGTAAAGGCATGACAATATTCCTCGCTTTGTTGTATGAGGAAAATCTTCTTAAGCCCCCCTCTTGATTAACCCCATAAAAAGTAAAGGGACCCACATTTGTGTCATAGTATATAATGTTTGTGAAATCTATGATTAGTGTAAATGGGCTATTTTCTGCCCAGGCCACCTTTACTTCTTCTCCTTTCCACGTGAGAGGCATTAGTGAAGTGAAGAGGGAACACATTCATTTGTGTGAATCCAATCTTGGCCTAACAAGGCCTGATATTGTGTTGTAGTCCTAAATACAAAGAAGGCTATTAAAGATGACCTGGAACCAAAGTCTACTTGTAATGGTAACATCCCTAAAACCCATGAGGCAATCCTTGTGAATGTTATCATAGATACCTTTATTAGAATCAGGTCTTATTCATCTCACCCCATCTTAAGCATTATTCAAGCTGGCAATATGTTGACCGTTGATCCACTATCAACTAATATCCTTGTCATTAGTTTGCCATAAAAATGGGCCTTAATATACAAAGGTTTTAGGTGCTGTGTCATCTTGAAACTGGGTTTTTCTAGGATCCTTCCATGGCTTGTAGGGTAATTTGACATATGGGCTCTAATTTAGTGCTTTCTAGTTATAGTGTCTTATGTACTTTAGATGATTCAAGGACCTCATCCTCCCTTAGCTCCATAGGACAATATTGATATGGCCCCACTCATTCCGTGTCTGTATCAGTAATTTCAACTTGATCCCAAGCACTTGTTCCTACTGTTTTGCTGAACTACAAATAGAAGGTTAAGGAAATTATACAATAGAGGTTTAAAGGTACCTCTCCTATATGGATCCTTCTTATTTGCTGATCTCACTCTTCAATTTCTTTTTTGTTGTCCTCTTTTTATCATTCTGATCTTCTGTTGACCTTTTTTTTAAAACTTGTTGATCTCTTGCTCGTTAGCCATTACCTAAGGTTCTACTTTGTTTTGCTTTTTGAAGTATCTCTAAGCAGCCTATTTGTGCTGTAAGCACCTTTTTTGGGTACGTGTTAAAATATGTGGGAATTTATAGTGTCTTATATTCTCCATTACTAGGGCGACGCATCATTATGTGGAATGATGAACCTACCCTTGTTCTTCACGAGCTTTGGCTTTTAAGGAAGTTCCTGAGCTATTTTTGATTTCGATCTTTCCATAGGTTGTCCTTCTAGACCCATATCCGAGCTTTAAGGTTTACCTCTAAATGGTTCCCTCACATCAGGTGATAAGACACATTATTTATACACTTTATCTAATCATTTAAGACCCATTTTACATGTTGTATTCTCCATTTTGATGCATTCATAATCTTAAAAGCAAGAAAATTGCCTAAGAAGTAGAGTTGCACACTAGAGGTATTTTCATCCAAAAATTGAACTTTTAAAAATAGGTATGAGAAAATTAGTCAAAGTATACTTTAAGTGTAGAAAAAGAGTGGTTAAACTAGATTTTACAAATTCATTTTAGTTCAGGATTAATTAAATAAAAGTCAACACTTTTTATTGACTTTCTCAAGTGTGTTTGTTTGACCTGATTTTGGGTTTGCATTTATGTAAAAAATTTTATATGATTTTGCGCACCTAAAGACTTGGATATTTTAATAAATTCTCCCATCTAAATATGAATACAAAGCTGCACTTTAATTAGATTTTATGATATCACGTGTTATTAAATTAAATTATTTGTATTTTGTGATATAGGTGATATGTGACTTATGCGTTAATTTGGCAAATGAGGTCAAAGCCTCACCAAGCCAAATCTGATTTGTGTGGGACGTGCATGGACTGCCATTGGATGGAATAGATCTATTTTAAATGTGGATGAAGTATAAGATTAACATGGGAATCATTTATAAGCCAATAAAAGGATACTACCTTACAAGCCTCTCTTCTAGGTGATTTAAATCCACTTGCATTTTATTTTATTTTATTTTAATCTTTTGGGAGCTGAAGTATCCCATTCTGCGTCCCTCTTCATCATTTTTTAGATCAAATTTATTTATTCAAGCCATCCTCTTCCATTATCTCACCTTCTGTCACTTGTTCTTCATCATTCTTCATATTTCATCCCTTTTTTTCATAATTTCTCACTTAAATTGCCACAAAACACACACCAATTTTGTCTAAGAGGATTTTAGGCCCAAACAGTAACATTGTACCAAATTTAAGTTTAGAATCCTAACTATACTTGGATTGATAGCTTAAAGGTAAAATTATCCTTTAATCCTAAAATTATTAACCTTCTAAGAAAAACATGAGGAACATCAAACGAGAAAGATATCATTCCATATTATTATTTATAACCCTAAATATTTTAAGGATGATATTAATCATTGAAATTGAAATCCATCATATACAAGATTAGAAAACAAATAAACACAGAAATGAAGCTAAATTATATTAATTAAAGATGAATGCTGACCACTTTTTTATGAAGATTTCAACCATACTCTGACATTGGTTGAGGAATAAAAGCAGTTTAACGTGAAGGAGACTTTGAGAATACAAATATTAAGACATTAGCATTTAGCATACAAAAAATTAAATTTATGCACTTACATTAAAATTTTTATTTTCAAATCCTTAAAAATAATCCTAATTTCAAAATTTAAGGTGGGGAAAGAAATTTGAGAAAACAACAACAAAATTTCTTCAAATTATATAAATGATAATTTAGTCTCTTGAAATGTCATAATACTAATAAAATCTCTAGGGACTTTTTTGTTATTAAGAAATTAATATAAATAACTAAATTACTCTTAGTTCAAAATTTCAAATGCGAACTTACAAATTGCTGTTGCATTTTTACGATTTTTAAAAAAATTGTGAATATTAAAACAAAACTTATGAATGGTAATTGATATTTAGAACACTTAAGGAATATCAAAATTTCAAATACAAACTTATAAATTGCTATTGAATTATTGTAATTTTAAGAAGAGAAATTGTAAATCTTAAAACAAAACTTGTGAATAGCAATTAATATTTGAACTAAGGACAATGTGGTCATTTAAATTAATTCTTTAATGACAAAAAAGTCTCTAAAAATTTTATTGGTATTATAATATTTTGAGAGATTAATTGTCACTTACATAATTTAAAGATATTTTATTATTATTTTTTTGAGAAAATTTGTCTGACAGAGGCGTGTGCTTTCCCCTTTCTCTACCGTGGCGTTTGGATAAGATAATGTGTTCAATTATTTTTAAATTAACTTCAATAAATAAACACAGGAATGAAGCTAAAATTATATTAAAGATGAATACTTAGTCTTACCACTTTTTTATGAAGATTTCAACCGTACTCTGACAATGCTTGAGGGACAAAAGCAGTTTAACGTAACGGAACCTACGAGAATGGAAATATTTTTTCGACCTGGAAGAGAATACAAATATTAAGACATTAGCATTTAGCATACAAACAATTAAATTTGTGCAGTTACATTAAAATTTTTACTTTCAGATCCTTAAAAATGATCCTAATTTTAAAATTTAAGGTGGGGAAAGAAAATTTGTCTGCGAGAGAAATGTGTTTTCCCCTTTCTCTACCATAGTGTTTGGGTAAGATAATATGTTCAATTATTTTTAAATTAACTTCATTAAATTTAGAAATTTGTAAGTTTTATAATATATTATTCAGATAAAATGTTCAATTATTTTTTAAGAAAGAAAAAAATTAAAATAATATAATGGCATATTCCTCCAAACAAAAATTATCAACGATCGTTCGGTTGTTGGAACATATTAAAATGAAATAAAAAAATAAAAATAAAGATAAAAATAAATTAAATTACTCTTCCCGTAATAATAAACATAATAAAACCTAATACCAAAAATCACTACATCATTCACAAACCTCATAAATCATTGACATATTTCCTTTGGTCATTTTCTCTTGTCTTTATTTATTTATTTATTTATTTCATTTCATTCTCCCTAAAATAATGCCCTATTTCAACCAAACAAGTCATTAAAGTTCATCTCCTCCTTGGGCTAAAGCAGACACTCCATGATGTTACAGATTAACAAGATTCAGAATTTTTGGCAAAAAAAAATGTAAATCAACCACAAAGAAACTTAAAAACTAACAAGCAAATGGAAGTGTAAAAAGTAAGAGACGAAGATAATGTATTAGGCTTACCTGATATGAACGTACGGCGTCTTCAAAGATCAAACTTCTTTTCTTTTTTTCTTTTTGGGTAACAAGAGGAATGGAAAAACAAACTAGAAAACTAGGCAAGAACAATCCTGAAGAACTTTACAAGACTAAGGCGAGCGCGAGATAATTGGCAGATTTATTAGCTTCCCTGAAAGATCAAACTTCTTCAAAGCAATATAAGCTCCCTCTCCTTCTCTATTTTCTTCTTTTTTCTGAAGAAAATAAACTGATAATGAGAATAAATTTGAAAGAACAGTTGAGGTGCCACAAGAAATTACAACAGGTATGATTTTTTGTTTTTGGAGTAAATAAACTAATGAGCAAAAAAAATTAAACTTGGAAGCAAAGCTAGCGGCACAAGATTATCACAAGAAGCAAAAGGATTTTTGTTTTTTTAAATTGTTTAAACTTTTCTTGAAGAATTGACTCCGAGAGAAAACTTGGAGGAGGAAGATAGAAAATTGAAGGCAAGCCACAAGCAGGATTGGTTTTTGGTTTGATCTGAGCGCACTCCTTTGAAGCAAATCTTGGAGAATCCGATGAGAGACTATGGGTTGGTATAGTGTGCAAAGTCAAACTCTCACCACTCTCGAGATCTTCTTTTAATTCATAAAATAGTTTATCTTACCAATACCATATTAAAATGTCATTAATAACATCAATCATCAATCCATCATTGTTAAAAAGAAAATACTCACCACAATATAAACAATTCAAGAAATAATCCTAAACTAATTTAGGATTGCAAACAAAAAAGTTGATTAAAATCTTAAGTTTTTTGAAAAAAATTTCATATATTTCCAATTATAACCTTAAAGAAATAAATATAATATTTAACTTGTTTAAAACACTGTCATTAATTATTTGAATAGCATATAATAAAATAAGAGTATAATATATATATATATATATATATTTATATAACCTACACAATATCCTATATTTGAACTAAACAAGACTTCTAGAAAATATACCTTCCATCCTTATATGTAAGATATTTTTTTAAAAAAATATTTTATCTTAAAATATATGAGATTGTCAGCATAATTTCTAATAAACAAATTATTATACCCTTATTATATTATAAAGGAAAAAAGATAAGTACTCATTAATTTATTTTGAAAAAAAATTATTTTGTATTTACAATAATTCAGGAAAAATTGAAATATTGTTATACTTTTAAGTAAATAACCAATTTTTATTAGTTTATGTAATTCAGTTAAAAATATTTTATATATAGGGACAAAGAGAGTATCATATATTATAATTTCATGGAGCACTCCAATCCTTCCGATCCAAAATATAGCCAGCTTTAAGAAAAATTTGTATAGCAATAAAGTCCTTGTTCTCATAAAAATATATATATATATATATATATATTTTAATCCCTCATCCTAATTAACAATGCATTCTATTATGAATGAGAGATAAATTTACATAAATGTCTAGATTAACCAATACAAGAAATAAAATAAAAAAATTTATCTGTATTAAGTTGCTTACATTTTAAATCAAGATTAAATAAAAGAAAATGTTTATATTTTGAGTTAAAGTGAGTATATTATAAGATACTTTCTAAAAATAATTTTTAATTTTTAATATAAAGCAGATATTAATTTTTTAATATTATTTATATCTAAATTCATTAAGAGAGAATGTTATGTAACTCTTACAAAATTAATTAAATTGAATTAAAATTAAAAGTTTGCTATATTTTTCAAACAAAATTAATACCTTAGCTGCTCCTTCTCCTGAATTCTAGTGGGATAATTGTAGTGAGGTAGTTCATCGTACATCGTAACAAGAAGACCGGAGACAGATATTTGATTCCTTGCCGAGGGCACTCTAATGGGTCTACTGTGCTACGTTGACCAAGGCTACAAATATCAAACTTCTTTTTTGTAACAAGCTAAGAGGAATGAAAGACAAACTAGAAAGTCAGACAAGAAAAATCTCCCGGATGAAATTAATCAGACTCACTAATGCGAGTGAGATGAGCAGAAGCTTTGTTAGCTTCCATGAAAGATCAAACTTCTTCAAAGCAATATTGCAGCTCCCTCTCTTTTTTATTATTCCTTCTGTTCAAATTATAAAATATTTTTAAATAAAATTTTACATACTAATAAATTTTATTAAATATATTTAACAATTTTATCTTTTCAAAATAAAAATAAAAATTTTAAAAATACTTATTATTTAATATATTGAAAAAAGAGGTGATAAAAATTAATTATAGAGAAAGAAATGGTATAATTAAAATTAATGCATTTAATCAAATCTTAATTACTTAAAGTATCTTATATTTTATAATAAAAAAATTTTTTTAAAAATATTTTATAATTTAGGATGGAGAAAACTTTTTTTTTTTTAGAAAATAAACTGATGACGAAAGGAAATTTGAAAGAAAAGTTGCAGAGGCACCGGAAATCGCGACAAGCAAATTAAAATGGTTTTTTTTTTTTTTGTTTGAGAAAATAAGCTGATGGTCTGAAGAAACCAGAAACAGAAGTTATGGCGGCGTACAAGAAATTAATCACAACAAGCAAAACGTTTTTTCTTTTTGTTTTTTACACTGATGATCAAAAGAAATGTGAAAAAAGTTACGGTGGCACAAGAAATCGAAAGAAGGTTTTTTTCTTTTTTTTTTCTTTGCTTAAAAACAAAAAAGAAGGATGTTTATTTATTTTTCTTTATTTTGATAGTTTAAACCTTTCCGGAAGAAACGAGTGAAAGAAAAAGCTGAAAAGAAGAAAGAAGAATTTGAAGTCAAGCACCAAACTGTAGTTTGATTTGTTTAATCTGAGTGGGCGGCTTTGACGGAAATTTTGCAGAATTGATGGGATTAGGGGATTGACCTGATGGGATTAGGTATCACGTGAAAAGTCAAGCTCTCTCCACTCTCGAGGTCTTCTATTAATTCATAAAATAATTTATCTCACAAATGTTAAAATACCATTAACAACATCAATCATCAACGGATCAACCTTTATTAATTAAAAATATTAGTTTAAAAATGTTCATTGCACGATAGGCCTTTTATGTTTTACTAAAAGTGGAAGTGGGTCAACCCCTATCATTACCCACACATGAGGTATTTTTCACTCTAATTTATTTATTAAATAGGTTTAAATTAAATTTAAATATTTAATTATATTTATTTAATTAAATAAATCATGCATGTTTTTATAAAGTCTAACTTACAAGTTTAACAAGATAACTTATTTATACACAAATATTATATATTATTACATTCATTGATTTTTAATTAATTTATTTGTATATTTATTTATTTAATATTCATAATTATAATTTAAAAAATTAATAATATCTATATTCAGTATAAATATTGCCCCTAATAATAAATTTTTTATTTTTGCCTATCGTTGCAGCTATTATCAATGCACTATATTATGAGTGAGAGATATATTTACATAAATATTTAGATTAATAAATATGATAATAAAATAAAAAAATTACTTGTACTAAATTATTTATATTTTAAACCAAAATTAACTAAAAAGAAATATTTATATTTTAGACTGGAGGTCCTATATTATAGGACACTTTTTACAACTATTTTTTGGATTATTAATATAAGGCATATTATAAGGTTTAATTATATTTTTAATATTATCTATATTTAAATTTATTAATTATAAAAATATTAAAAATTTTATTTAAATAGAGTTAAAATAAAAAATTTATTATACCCTTAAACAAAATTAATAAGTTAACTAGCTTCTCTAAAATAATTGTAGTGACGAACTTTGATCGGGAAGAAGATTCTCTCCTTTTCACTTCTCATTCTCTTCCATTCTTTTCCCTTATGAGTTATTAAATCAAGATTTAAATAATTTAAATTTTATTTTTTTATAAAATTATTATTAAATATAATGTTAAAGTGATATATTTTATAGGAGATTAAATCTTAATTATCCAAATAAAGATCAAATGATTAAAAATTAAGAAGAGGAAGGGAAGAGGATGAAAGAAAAAAGAGGATCCATTCTTCATACCTTATAACGAGAAGATCGGAGACAGAAATTGATTCCCTGCGAGGCACTGAATTGGGTCTCCTGTGCTACGTCAACCAAAAAGGGCTGCAAAGATCAGATTTTTTCTTTTTTGGCAACAAGCTTTTTTTTTTTGAGCAAAATTTTTGGCAACAAGCAAAGAGGAATGAAAAACGAACTAGAAAGCCAGACAATAAAAATCTCCTGGATGAGCTTAATCACACTAACTAATGCGAGTGAGATGATCAGAAGCTTTGTTAGCGTCCATGAAAGATCAAACTTCTTCAAAGCAATATTGCAGCTCCTTCTCCTTTATTTTATTTCTTTTATTTTCTTTTAAACTGATGATCAAAAGAAATTTGAAAGAAAAGTTGTAGAGGCACCAAAAATTACGCCAAGCAAATTAAAATGATTTTTTTTTTGAGAAAATAAACGGATGGTCTGAAGAAATTAGAAACAGAAGTTGTGGCGGCGTACAAGAAATTAATCACAACAAGCAAAACGATTTTTCTTTGTTTTTTTTTGAAGAAATTAAACTGATTATCAGAAGAAATCTGAAAAAATGTTACGGTGGCAAAAGAAATCACAACAAATAGAAGGATATTTTTTTTTTTTTGATAGTTTAAACTTTTCAGGAAGAAACGAGTGAAAAAAAAAAACAAAAAAAAGCTGGAAACTAGAAAGAAAAATTTGAAGCTGGAAACTAGAAAGAAAAATTTGAAGGCAAGCACCAAACAAGTAGTTTGATTTGTGTGATCTGAATGGACGGCTTTTGCAGCAAAATGATGAGAGATTATGGGAAAGGCCTGATGGGGGTAGAAAGAGTTGGCACCCGCAGTGATTTAAAAATCAAATTGAATCGAACGGTCATACTAATCGAACAGTCAATCGATTAAGTTAACAATTTAGTTAAGTCAAAAAAACTATTTAAAGAGTTGGGTAGGATTGAGCCTTTTTAAATTAGTGGTTGAATAGAGAATCGAAATCAATCCGAGAATCAATTTCAGTTTTTAAAAACTAAACTATTCAAAAAATACCTCTTTTTTTATTAATTTTTTTTTAAAAAATGACCAATTTTTTTGATTATTTAACGTTATATTGTATCATGTAACTTATTAAATCATTATAAACTTAAAATATTTATTTTTATTTTTAAATTAAATAACAATTTTATATTTATTTTTTATATTTAAATTATGACATATATATATATATATATAACTTTTTAATTTAATTATTATGTCAATAATTTGATTATTAATCTAATCTAATTGAACTATATGAATCATAAATCATTAGTCTTTAATTTAATATTTAATTTGATTTTGAAAATATTGATGTCACATGAAAAGTCAAGCTCTCTCCACTCGCGAGGTCTTCTTTTAATTCGTAAAATAATTTATTTCACAAATATTAAAATGCATTAACGTTAGCAACATCAATCATCAACCTTTGCTAATTAAAAATGTTATTTAAAAAATGTTTATGACACGATAGGCTTTTTATGTTTACTAGGAGTGGCAGCAGGTGAGCCCCTATCATTATTACCTACAACCTGACATATTTTAGACCCAATTTAATTTGTTTATTAAATAAACTGAAGTTGAATTTACATATTTAATTAAGTTTATTTAATTAAATAAATTAAGCCTAATTTTATGAAGTTTAATTTATAAACAATAGAGAAAATAACGCCCCAAAAAAATAAATTAATGATAGTTAGATATTTAATAAAAATTTTTATAAAAGAAATTATAAATATTAATTTAAATAGTTATAAATAAAAATTTCTGTTATAATTCTAAACTTACATTTAATATTTAAATATTTATTTATAATTAAAACTCATGAAATTATAATAATTTAATTTATATTTTTAAATTATTTTTTAAAAAAATTTTAGGAATTTAATTTACATTAATCCAGTATTTTAAACCTAACTATCGTTCTTGTTCTAACTATCATTCTTCTTAAATAATATGTTGGCTTTTTCTCTCTTTCTCCCTCCTACCTCTCTCTCTCTCTCACACAATATGTAATATATTACATAAATTGATTTAATTTATTTATTTTTATTTATAGTTATATTTTTAATTAGATTAAACTTATGTATTAATTTTAATATTATTATTTTCTCATTATATTATAGTTGATAAGTTTTTTAATTATTATATATTATAATTAATAAATTAAATTTTTTACATGTGTGTGAATTTTAATAGTCTTAAATTAAAAGCCTTATTTTTAAGATCCTCAATAACTTTTTAGAAAAAATTGAGGGGCAAAATTTTTTTAAACCTATTATTTATAACTCTAAATATTTTAAGGATGATATTAATTATTGAAATTGAAATCCAGCATATATAAGATTAGAAAACAAATAAACACAGGAATAAAGTTAAATTATATTAAAGTTGAATACTTACCAGTTTTTTTATGAAGATTTCAACCGTACTCTGACAGTAGTTGAGGGACAAAAGCAGTTTAACGTGAAGGAGACTCTGAGAATACAAATACTAAGCCATTAGCATTTAGCATACAAACAATTAGATCTGTGCAGTTACATTAAAATTTTTATTTTCAGATCCTTAAAAATGATCCTAATTTCAAAATTTAAGGTGGGATCAGAAAATTTGTCTGCGAGAGAAATGTTTTTCTCCCTTTCTCTAACATAGTGTTTGGATAAGATAATATGTTCAATTATTTTAAATTAACTTCATTAAATTTAGAAATTTGAAAGTTTTATAATATATTACTCAGATAATATGTTCAACAATTTTGTTAGAAAGAAAAAGAAATAAAATAATATAAGGGCATATTCCTCCTGGACTAAAATTTTTTTATCAAAGATCGTTTGGTTGTTGGAACATATTAAATGAAATAAAAAATAAAAATTAAATTAAATTAAATTATCCGCCTCATAATAATAAACATGATAAAACCTAATATTAAAAAATTCTAAATCATTCACAAAATCTCATACACAAATCATGAACAAAATTACTATTTTCTATTGTTGACATATCTCCTTTGATCATTTTTTTAATATTTATTTATTTATTTCATTTTATTCTCCCTAAAATAACTCCCTATTTCAGCCAAACAAGTCATTAAAATTCCTCTCCTCTGCTCCTTGGGTTGAACCAAACACTCCTTGATGTTACAGATTAACAAGATTCAGAATATTTGGTATGGAAAAATGTAAATAAACAACAAAAAAACTTTAAAACTAACAAGCAAATGGAAGTGTAAAAAGTAAGAGACGAAGTTAATATATTAGGCTTACCTGATATGGACGTCACAGCATCTGCAAAGATCCAACTTCTTTTCTTCTTTTATCTTCTTTCTTTCCCCCCTTTTGGTAGCAAGAGGAATGGAAAAACAAACTAGAAAACCAGGCAAGAACAATCCTGATGAAGAACTTAACGAGACTAAGGCGAGAGCGAGATCATCGGCAGATTTGTTAGCTTCTTTGAAAGATCGAACTTCTTCAAAGCCATATCAGCTTCCTCTCCTTTTCTATTTCCTTTTTTTTTTCCAGAAGAAAATAAACTGATGATGAAAATAAATTTGAAAGAAGATTTGAGGTGTCACAAGAAATTACAACAGGTAGGATTTTTTTTTTTGAAGAAAAGAAACTGACAGTCAAAAGAAATCTGCAGAAAGCGTCACAAGAAATCACAACAAGCAGAAGGATTTTTTTTTTTGGGAAGAAAATAAACTGATGAGCAAAAGAAATTAAACTTGGAAGCAAAGCTAGCGGCACAAGAAATCACAAGAAGCAAAAGATTTTTTTAAAATTTTTTATAGTTTAAACTTTCTTGAAGAAATGACTCAAAGAGAAAACTTGAAGGAAGAAAGTAGAAAATTGAAGGCAAGCCACAAGCAGGCCATTGGTTTTAGGTTTGATCTGGGCGGATGGCTTTGAAGAAATTTCGGGAAATCCGATGAGAGATATTATGGGAAAGCTAAGGGAGCTGGCCAGAGTTGGTATAGTGTGGAAAGTCAAACTCTCTTCACTCTCGAGATCTTCTTTTAATTCATAAAATAGTTTATCTCACAAATGCTATATTAAAATGTCATTAACACTTGTATTAAAAAAATGTCATTAACAACATCAATCATCAATCAATCATTGTTAAATAACATAGTCTCTCTTCACTACAATACAAGTAATTGTAAACTAATTTAGGATTTTAAAAAAGTTGATTAAAATATTGATGTCTTAAATTTTTTTACATATTTTCAATCATGTCTTGAAGGGAATAAATATAATATTTAACTCATTCAAAACACTCTTATTAATTATTTGAGTGGAGCATAATAAAATAAGGATATAATTAATATATATATATATATATATATATAACCTATACAATGTCCTATATTTTGAATTAAATGAGACTTATAGAAATCATCATATATTGTGACTTAAAAGGAGCATTCCCTCCCATCCACTTCTTTGATCCAAATTATAAGCAATTTTTTTTAAAAAATATGTATAATAATAAATTTTTTATTTTCATAAAAATATATATTATTATTTTTATTCCAGTCCCCGATCCCAATTACCCAAGGACGTACCCACGTTCACAATAGAGGGGGCGATTGCCCCCATTGAATACGCAAAAATTTTACTTATTTTCATGTTAAAATTACACTGTTTCCCTTTAAAATTGCAATTTGTCCTTATAAAAAATCAATTACCCTACACTCTCTTTAAAATAAACAAACATATATATTTAAAAGGTTAAATTTTACCTTTAGTTATTTAATTTCACACAAAATTTGATTTTGATTCTTTAATTTTATAAAGTATTTTTTAGTCTTTTAATTCTAACACCATTAGTTTGATCAACAAAAATTTTTTACATTGAACTTTTAAATATTAATTAACAGAAATTCTCAAATGTTAATATATTAAATTAAATTTTTAAAAATAACAATGATTGGCATAAAAAATAATCATGTGAAATTAATAATATTAGGGTTAATATACATTATAAAATAAAACACCAAAATTGATCCTCATATTATAATATTAGAGGACCAAAGATACACTTATTTAAAATATAGCTTATCTTTTATTTATTGTAAAAATAAAGCTATGATAGAAATGAAATTAATATATATTTTTAAAATTCTCATGTAATTTATTTGTATATTTATTTAATTAATATTTTGGAATTATATTTTTTAAAAAAAGTAATAACGTTTATTATTTAGTATAAATATTGCCCCTTTAATAATTTTTTTGGGTTGTCATTTCAATTACAAATACACTTTATCATGAATGAGAGATATATTTACATAAATATCTAGATTAATATATACAAGAGGTAAAATAAAAAAAATTATATGTACCAGGTTGCTTATATTTTTTAACCAAAATTAGCCGAGAGGTAATGCTTATATTTTAAACTGGAAGGAGTATTTTACAGAACACTTTCTAAAAATATTTTTTAATTTTTAACATGAGGCACACTATGAGGTTTAATTATGTTTTTTGTAATATTACTTATATTTAAACTCATTAACTATGAAAGAGAATATTAAAAAAATTATTTAAGTAGAATTAAAATTAAAAGTTTATTATATTTTCAACAAAATTAAAAAGTTATAAAAATTGAGGACTTAGAATGATATAAAAATTGATTTTAGCTGATTTCAGGGACTTATAAAAATTGGGCATATAACACCGGCAAGTGTGACCAGCCGTAGATATGGCTTACGGGGACAGGGCCAAACTCTCAGCCCAAGTTCGGCCGTAGTCATGCCGTGTGTATGGTCGTCTGGATTGCCATATGAAAAGCATTTTTTCAAAATAAAAAAGTTATAAATTGCTTGAGAAAAAAAGCTAAAAATTATTATTATTTGACAGTTTTTCTCTCCTAATATTCTCTCCCTAATATTTTATTTTCATTTTTTCATCCATTCAAACCAAACATTAACGAAACAGAACGGTAATTGAAATATGAAATGAAGTGGAATAGAATGAAACTGAAGAATGTTCCATTGTTTGAAAGCTTTATTGGCAGAATAAATAGTTTCATTTGATTTTTATTTTCTAATTATTATAAAATTAATAATTTTTTTAAAAATAAACATAAATTATACTAGCTCTCTATTCAGTTGGAGAAGGGAAAGGAAATTTTAATAAAATATTTTTTCCCCTCCCCTCCCTTCCAACCAAACATTGTTGGTAAATAAAAATGAAATATTTGAAATAAAAGGGAGGTTTGTGTTTTGATATTATTGATTTTATAGGACATATGAAAATAAAAAGAAAATATTTATAATTAAGATAAAAAGAGGGACGATCAATGTATTTTATTCTAAATCAAAGTGGCGGGAGATCTATTTTCATAAGTGAATATTTAAATAATAATATAATATAAATGACTGAAATAAAATTAACATAAGGTAGAAAACAATAAGAAGTGTAGACATCAGGAAAGAAACTCGTCGGAAATGTATACTCACCAATTCTTTCTGAAGATTTCAACTTTGCTTGACAACGCTAAGAAGGGACGTAGCCCTTTTTCGATTTCTGGTTTTGTATGTTGGCACCACAACAAGCAATTGACGAAGAGGAGGCTGAAAGAAATAATCCATATATTACAAAATTATATTATTTTCTAATAATATTGTTGGAGAATAAATTTTCTTCTTTAATTAATTATGGGATAGAACTTAATTAAAAATTTATTCTTTAACTCAATTTCAAAATGTCCTCTCAGATTCATTGAAAGAAGAGTAAATGTAGATGTTGCCTTCTTATATCTATTATGGGATCAACGTATTTTGAAATGAAGGTAAATTATCATTTGAAAAAGAATACAAATATAGGTGTTGCCTTTTTAAATTCATCACGGGACCAACATATTTTAAAATAAGGTAAAACAATTTTTAAAATTGAATAAATTTTTATTTAAATTTAAATTTATATAAAGTAATATATGACAGGTACAAAATAAATAAATTATTTTAAAATAAATTAAAATAATATAAGGATATATTCCTCCTGACCAAACAAAAATCATCAAAGATGGTTTGGTTGTTGGAGCATATTGGAATGGAATAAAAAAAAATAAAGATAAAAATGAATTAAATTACATCTTCATAATAATAAATATAATAAAACCTAATACCAAAAATTACTGCATCATTCACAAACCTCATAAATCATTAACAAAATTACCTTTTTCTATTGTTGACATATCCCCTTTGATCATTTTCATTTTATCTTTATTTATTTATCTATTTATTTCATTTTATTCTCCCTAAAATAGCGCCCTGTTTCAACCAAACAAGCAATCATTAAAATTCATCTCCTCCCTTCCTTGGATTGAACCAAATGCTCTTTGATGTTACACATTAACAAGATTCAGCATATTTGGTATGGAAAAATGTAAATAAGCAAGAAAGAAACTTAAAAACTAACAAGCAAATGGAAGTATAAAAAGTAAGAGACGAAGATACTGTATTAGGCTTGCCTGATATGGACGTACGGCGTCTCCAAATATCAAACTTCTTTTCTTTTTTCCTTTTTAGGTAACGAGGAATGGAAAACAAACTAGAAAACTAGGCAAGAACAATACTGAAGAACTTTACAAGACTAAGGCGAGCGCGAGATAATTGGCAGATCAGATTTATTAGCTTCCCTGAAAGATCAAACTTCTTCAAAGCAATATAAGCTCCCTCTAGCTACTTCTCTATTTTCTGAAGATAAACTGATAACGAATATAAATTTGTAAGAAAAGTTGAGGTGCCACAAGAAATTACAACAGGTATAATTTTTGTTTTTGAAGAAAATAAACTGATGAACCGAAGAAATTAAACTTGGAAGGAAAACTAGCGGCACAAGAAATCACAAGAAGCGAAAGGATTTTTTGTTTTTTAATTTTTTATAGTTTAAATTTATTGAAGAAACGACTCAGAGAAAACTTGAAGGAAGAAAGTAGAAAATTGAAGGCAAGCCACAAGCAGGATTGGTTTTTGGTTTGATCTGAACGGACGGCTTTGAAGCAAATTTTGGAGAATCCGATGACAGACCATGGCTTGGCATAGTGTGGAAAGTCAAACTCTCTCCACTCTCGAGATCTTCATTTAATTCATAAAGCAGTCTATCCAACGAATGCTATATTAAAAGTCATTAACACTTGTATTAAAAAATGTCATCAATCAATCATTGTTAAAAAAAAACACAAAGGGTTATGGTTAATTTTTATTACTAAACTGTACGAACAAAAGTCATAAATATCCTTCATTTAACTATAAGTTAATTTTATTTCTTAATTTTAAAGATTCTTTTTATTATCACTTTAAAATTAAAAACACTTAATGTTCATTAATTATCAGTGAATTCTACTATTTTAATATTTTTTATTAAGTCAAAGATATTTTTTACCCCTCAACTTCTATTTAAAGAGTCACTTTTACCCTTCAAATAAAATATTTATAATAAAAAATATTAAAAAAATAATGTAGGGGTCTACTAACTATAAGAATATGACAGGATAATAAGGAAGAAAATTTTTAAAGTTAAGAGATAGAATTGACCTATAGTTAAGTTTATAGGCATTTATGATCTTTTGTGTACAATTCAAAGGTAAAAATGATCTTTAATCCTAAAAAATACTCCATTTTAACTACAATATTAGTAATTGTGAACTTGTTTAGGATTCTAAACAAAAATTAGTTAAAATCTTGATTTTATAAAAAATTTCACATGTTTCCAATTATAACGTTGAAGAGAATAAGTATAATATTTACCTTATTTAAAACACTCTCATTAATTATTAGAGCAAAGTATAATAAAATAAGAATATAATTAATCTATATATATAATCTACATAATGTCTCTATATTCTAAACTAAGCGAGACTTCTAAAAAACATCATATATTGTGATTTAAGGGAGCACTCCCCCCCGTCTATTGCCTCCCATAAAAATATAAGCAGCCCA